CACATTACACTGAGAGATTTAAAGAGATGTAGATCACTAGTGTAAATAAATGTAAGTTCTGTTTATGCTTATCTTTCTGTATTAACGAATGTCATCCCAAACGTTTTAAAATGAATAAAATACGTTTCTTCGAAAATATTTTAATAACGTATTTATCGTGTTTTTCTGGGAACAAATTCCGCAACATTTTTATTAAAAGAAGAACTCTGATTTTTATAAAGCATAAACAAAAATTGGTATTTTATGGCCGTGAAAATAGGGATGTCACAGTTAGGGTTGTAAACGAACCAAACGAACACGAACAAGGTCTTGTTCATGTTCGTTCGTTTAAGTTAGCCGAACAACAAACGAACACGAACGGATAAACGAACGAGATTTTCTTGTTCATGTTCGTTCGTTTAAAAAATTACTTTGTTCATGTTCGTTCATTTATGTTCGTGAACATGCTAAACGAACATAAACGAACAAAGATAAAAAAAAAACAGAATTAAACATATATGAACATAAACGAACATATAATATAGCAATATAATAAAAAATAATTGAATATAGATGAATATAAATAAACTTAAACGAACGAACATAAACGAACGTAAATGAACATCGTAAACGAATGTTCACGAACATAAATAAACGAACGAGACTATTGTTCATGTTCGTTCATTTAACTAAACCAACGATAATTTTTGTTCATGTTCGTTCATTTATTAAATAAACGAACATAAACGAACTTCCCGCCGAACAGTTCACGAAAGGTTCGCCGAACGTTCAGTTCATTTACAGCCCTAGTCACAGTTGATAGTTTATCAGGAGCATTCCAGTCATAGGCTGTGGGCCTAGTTATCCTAGTAGTTCATTCTTTTGTTGGAGCGCTTTCAGAATGGAAACATTGTTGAGGTTCGGGCGAGCCGTAATCGGCTGCAAGGAATCACAAGATTTGTGCAAAATACAAGGGTAGGTCCTTGAGCTTCAAGTTATGAGTTTGGACCAGAATTTCATATATAATGGTATTATGATCTCGGGGAAATGGTCCAGACATGCTGAAGGTTCTGAGAGTGGTCCAGGAAGGCTGAAGGCCTGGAAAGGCGGTTCAGTCATGCTAAAGACTCGGTATGTGTTAGTGGATCAATATGTGGAGAATGAGTGAATATCTCGCCATGCAATGGTAATCGAGATGGTCTGGTCCCAAGTATTGATCATAATGATGGTGTTGGCTGGAGGTCGTGCATGGGCCTAGTTAGTATGTGATCGGATTCGGAGTATATGGGAGCTCAGGAATAACAGTTGCTCTACATAGATAGTGTAGAGTGGAGTTTAGCTCAGTGGCACTTATAAGTGCGGTAAGGGTTGGGGAGTAGATTTCCTGGAAAGGGAAGGTATGTAGCTCCGAAAGGAGTGTGGGTCCTCTGAAAGGAAAGCAGTAATGTAAATGGATGATCGAAAGTACTTCAGTTATTGATAGTAAGCATTAGGGTTGGACCAGATATATGGAAGCACTTATGGGTAGGATGCCCGTTGAGGTTGTGGCAATGTTGGATGATGTGCAAGCATGTTTTTAGTCTTCTTGGAAGAGGAGGAGTATAGTGGTCCCAGATTGGGGATTGGGACAAAGGAAGGTAAGACAATAGGTTAACAGACTCGAGAGTAGTCTAGACCGGTGATGAGGACTGTATGAGGATATTACAGTCGGAGATCAAGGACCAAGAGACCATGATAGGGAAGTGTGAGTGGGAGTAGCACAGGAGCTGAAGGTTGAGTCATCCTGTCAGCACAAAAAGAGAAGAGTTGGATTCAGGGAGGAAACAGGATGAGATTCCATCGGTGCAAGTTGAGAGAAGTGGCGTCAGATGGACGAGAGATAGCAGGATAATACTGGGTCAAGACCCGGTGGTCCAGGGTGATATCTAGCTTTGTATGAGTCAAGCGTTGGTCGTGATTGGGAATGATAGAAATATCATCGGGTGATCAGTGGTTGATAAATGTTGTTATCGGAGAAAGAAACCGGTAGCCGGCTTGAGGCGGTGGTCAGGACACTGCAAGGGAAGAGTTGGGTTGTTAGGGTTTCGGTAGTAGTGGTTAGAAGAATCTGGGTCAGTTCGAGAACAAAAGTTGCATTGTGGGAGGGTTATCTAGATGGTGTGCCACAGCAGGCTTCGAGGATGAAGCCTAATTTAAGTGGGGGAGAATTGTAATACCCCGAGTTCAGAAGTACAAGTTCAGGGTTTTAAGTGAAAGTACAGAAGGTCGACTCGACGAGTCGATGGATAGACTCGGCGAGTCGGGTCGTGATTCTGGATGCATGTTAAGTGACCAACTCGGCGAGTCGGCAGCTGGACTCGGCGAGTTGGTGCTGAAGGGAGAAAAACCCTAATACGGGGTTTGTGCTATATATAAAGCACATTATAGCCACCCTCAGCCTCTTTACTATCCATTTGAGTTCCAAAAACCCTACTTAGTGTGTGTGAGCCTCCATTGTTGAAGTTTGAGCTTGGAAGAAGAATTTAAGAGGAGAAAGTTAGAAGATCAAGAGGCTAGCATCGGGAGGCCATTGTAGATATGAAATCTACTCCTTCTTGGGCACATTTCTAAGGTAACAAGTCGTTACCTTGAGTTTCTCCTTCTAGATCCATTCTTAGTTGTTGTTTTGGGAATTTTAGCTTGATTGGAACCCATTTCGGGTTTAGAGATTAGATCTGAAGTTGCAACTTCAGATCTAGGTTAATAGTGGACTATGAAAGCTTAAAGCATCAGCCATGGGGTTTGATTTAGAGTATCTATGTCCCAAAAACCTCCTTATAGCTTGATTGGAGCTTGTGGAGCCTTGCATGCATGTAAAGTTGGAAACTTTACGTGTGAATCTGGCCCTAGGAGTCCAGATCTACATATTGGAAGCAATAAAATGGCCTGAAATCGTCTGAATGAAGATGTTACATGTGGACTCAGCGAGTCTGGAAGATGACTCGGCGAGTTGGGCTTGATATCAGACTTGAGTCGCATAGTAACTCGGCGAGTCACATGGGTAAACTCGACGAGTTGTATGAAGATGGGCAGGAACTCGATGAGTTGGAAGAATAACTCGACGAGTCTGATGAAGATTGTATTGGACTCGGCGAGTCTGTTCTTGGACTCGGCGAGTCGGGTCGCAGAACCCCGATCCCTTTCAGTTAAAGCATTGGATTAGTGTTTGTGTTGGGGACTCAGTGAGTTGGTCAGGATGGAACTCAGAGATCGTTGGACTCGGCGAGTCTTGGGGCTACTCGGCGAGTTAAGTGTGTTATGAGAGTTTTCTGGATAAGGGAACTCGGCGAGTCGACGGGGTGACTCGGCGAGTAGAGTCAACCAGGAAGGTTGACTTCGGCTTTGACTTTAACCAAGGGTTGACTGGTTTGACTCCCAAAGGTATTTTGGTAATTATTTGTGTTTATTGGTTTGTTTATTTGGTGATGATCAGTGGTGAAGTTCGTGCTGGCGGTCGGAGTAGCGTGGTATTATTTCTTCAAGTCGGCAGTTGCAGGTGAGTTATCCTCACCATACTAATGGGTCTAAGGCACCAAGGCCGACCCATTGGATTTCATATCCTAGTAGTTATTGATATGTTGAGTTGAGTTAGTAATGTGTGCCAGTTGATATGCTAGTCGGGTAGATCTGTAGGATTGCTTGTGATACTGATTGATTACCTGTATGTGCATTTATTTGTTACATGTCGACATGTTATGTGGGGTGGGTTAAGGTTGTCCTGCTCCGTGCGGTATCCAACAAACCCGAGAGTATTCCAGATATGAGCTGAGGGCCCGATAGGCATTCCAGACTCATACTGTGGACTCGAGAGCATTCCAGATACAAGCTGAGGGCCCGGTAGGCATTTCAGACTCATACTAAGGGCTCGATGGCATTCCAAATACGAGCTGAGGGTCAGGTCGGCATTCCAGACTTGTACTGAGGGCCCAGGGGTAGTCCAGCTTGTAAAGTTGTGGACCCAGTGCATGCTGTTCTGTGTCATTGATATGATATGCTAATGTTGATATTGCTATGTGGACTGTATGTGTATCGGTATTTTGGGGGTATCTCACTAAGCATTCGGGCTTACAGTTTCAGTTTATTGTTTCAGGTACCTCAGGGGATCGCAGCAAGGCTAAGGCGTGATCGTACTGCTCCTCCTATTATGTCATGTTTCTGGGAAAAGACTCTGATAATCAATGTTTTGAAAACAAAGTTGTAATATATTGATGAACTTAACATGTTTTAAAAAGTTCAAATTTGTTTGAAAATTTTGGATGTTACAATTTTAAACATTGATATTTTATCTAGGCATGTTGTTCTTTCAATCATTGAAATAAAAAGAGTTAGTTACATGAATGGTCGTTGTGTTATACCCAAAATTGCATATTCAATCCAACTTTTTTTTTCTGTTTCATTTTGGTCCCTGACATTGTTTTTTGTTTCTGATTTGTCACTGGTCCTGTAAAATGAAATGTAACAATAGTTTAAAAATAAACAAATTATAGAAAACTTAAAAGCAAGAGTAAAGTACATTTTTGTTTCCTTGAGTATGGCTGCTTTTTGCAATTTTGGTCCTAAAATGTTTTCTTTTGCATTTTTGGTCCTTATTTGACATTCGTGTAATGTTTTTGGTCTCGGTTCCAAATTAGTGACCATTTTTTCTCTATGGTTGTGATTTTTGCAACTTCGATCCCAAAATAGCCATTTTACTAGGAGCAGGGACAAAAAACGTTATAAAAATCTTAAATAAGGACCAAATTAGCATGACAACCTTTTGGGACCAAAATTAAAAACCTCAGCTATACTCAGGTACCAAAAATGAAATGTACTTTAGAAAGAAACATATGAGGGTAGAAAATTCATTTTATTATAGAAGTTGGACTAAACTTGAAATGTTGGGAATAACACAGAGATCATTCTTGTAATTACTCTAAAAAAGAATAGAAGTTGGTAATAGATGTCTGCCTTATGATGGGTGCAGGCTTCCATTGCCACCATCAATGAATATATCTCATGATGACGGTTTTGACTTAACCATTGTTCATGAAACCCTGATAAATGACTATAATGCCCTTGATCATGAGCCACCCATTGTGAAGGAAACACCAATCAAGAGCAGTTACCCTGCTACTCTTGAATCTGTCTCCGAGTCAACCATAATCCAATCAAAGTTTCCCATTTGTTCCTTTTCTTCCCCTTGTTCCACTTCAGCTTCTGAATGCATGAACACAACAACACCACCTAAAAAACAAAAAATCCCTCAAAACAATTCACCTCTAGATTCAAGTGTCAATTCCCATTTTCATAAAAGAAGAAAGTCTTCAACTTTTGCATCAGTCAAGATGGCCCACTTTGATTCCCCTGACCCTAAAACCAAATTTCTAGTGAAAGAAACCATGAATCTTGGTGATGAAACCAAGAAAGATCTAAAAATATGGTGTTCACTTTGTAAAAACCCACTGGGTCTTGCGGAAAATGACTACTTTGTCCAAGGCCCGTCCTAAGGATTCAAATGCCCAGGATGAGGTGGAAAAAAAAAGGCCTTAGAGATTAACGAGTAACGAATTAAATTACATAAACTGATTTTTTATGATGTATGATTTCATCATTCACTAACTATAATATGATGACATTTACATCTTGATTCAATTCAATGGAACAATTTACAATCTAATTGTAATTCAATTTCTGATGAGTAATTCTGCTAAGTAAGCTAATTATCTAATATGACCCTGTGATATTGTGGTTCAACATTCAATATCTCAAAAATAAAACAAACAATTAAACATAACTGAAGTCAGAATAATTTATAACTGAATGACTTATGATCGACCGGAAATCTTGAATAAAATAAAACAAGAAAATTGTGGAATAATATCGCCGTTGCCCTTCTCAGTTCTCACCTTCTACTGAATCTGAATGATTATGAATGTCGTTGAATAAAAATCTGAAATCTGAATGTCCTGCACGCTGTGGAGTAGGGATGTTATTCGGGCCAGAACCGACCCGAACCGACCCGACCCGAACCCGAATAAACCGAGAACCGAATAAGGGTATTTGTATGAACCGAAAACCAAACCAAATAAGCAATACGGGTTTGGTTCGGTTCGGGTTTTATTCAGTTCGGTTCGGTTCCGACCCGAATAACCCAAATAACATGTAAAATGACCTATTATTATTGTATAACCCGAATAACCAAAATAACATTTACAATGTGATTATAACTATTGTATTTTATATGACTTTTGTATTTTATGATTTCATAACAATTTTTTTTAAAGAAACAAATTTGTTAATTAAAAATAATACAAAGTATATATAATTGTTCCAAAGGTGCAAAAAGAGTTAGAATTTGTGAACTAAGAATATAAACACGGATAACATGGATTAACTATTCTTGATTAAAATGTAAAATACAAAACCAAAATCTTAAGATATATTATGAAGCAACATATTAAACACTAAACATTAAACACCAAAACATCCAAAAATCTATATATAAGTATATAAGTACAAGATTGAATAAGCTATCGATCAAGGGAAAAAAATGTGAGTTATGTGACTTTTGTAATTCGGTTCGGTCCATTTGGCTCGAATAGGCCCTTATTTGGGTAACCCGAACCGAATAACCCGAAACCCGAATAAGCCTGATATAGATACCCGAAAACCGAATTGAATTTCTTATTCGGGCTTAATTCGGTTCGCGTTTCGGTTCGGTTCGGGTTTTCGGGCCAAATTCTCATCCCTACCGTGGAGTAATTGGATGTCCCAACTGTTGAATGATTGACTGCCATTCTGACGTTTCACGACCTCACGCTCACATAATGTCGGAAATCACAAAATCTCAACTTTCTCGACAAGTCGACAAAATTTTGTCTATCTCTGGACTGCTGTATGCTTGATGGACTGTTGAAGCTAAGCATTTGGGCTTGGAATTTTAATTACACATAATATAAGTAAAAAAAAATTGAGCCCCTGGAATATATGGGCACTCTGCAAATGTCCCTATTTCCCACCCTTATATCCGAAACTGACTCTGTCCCTTGTTCTTTGATGTCGTCATCTAAGGTGCAGTTGGTGTCAAGTTGGAAAGGGAGAGAAAAGGGCCTCACAAGTGTAGTTGTTGTGGTGTCTGATATTGCATATGTTGATGGGAGAATTTGGAAAAGAAGTGGTGATGAAGGAATTTGGAGCAAAGAAGATGGTTGTGTATTTAATACGACTTTCTTGCCCTTTCTGTAGTGATCAAGAGTCAAGACAATTGCCTCGGGTTACATGTTGTGGCAACTGATTCCTCCAATGTGCAGCTTTTAAACAAGGTATCATATCAATTCATACTATTATAATATCTTGTCGCATATCCAATTGATAATTATTGAGGGTATATTGGTCATTTTGCTGATTTATGTTTTGGGAGTTGGGAGTTGGGATGTGTTGAATATGATCACAAAATCTATTTGATCCTTCAGAGATATACAACCAACTTATATAACTTTTCTATATGCAGGTGGTCTTTTCTAGAAATCCAACATATCGATACATCAACAACAAATAAGGTAATTTTGCATACGTTTCAAATTGAAAGTGACTCCCTAAAAACATTTGCAACTTTTGTCTTATTGAAATCAGTCACACAGTCTCGGTCCAATACATACCAAATGCAGTACAACATGTTTTGTCATATACCATCATGTGTACCAAACTACATTTTAATTGTAGGAAGTCTCACCTTCTAGTGTTAAAGTTTGAGTAAAGGCGTCTTACAAAATCTATTTGAGAAATTTGCCTACACATCTCCACAAACCAACTTGATAGGTTGGCGAACCACAAAATCTATGGTCAAAATTCTCTAATATTTTGTTATTTATAGATTCATTAAACGTATTTTAAATTCTAATTAAAGTAAAACTATGTTTGTTGATCATGCATATGAGATTACCAAAGAAAGTCTAAGTATCCATTACTAAATATTGATGCCTAACCTTACATGTAAATTCTTAACCGTTGCTAAATTGATTTTAAACCTATTTGGGAAATTTAGGATCTATGGTTATTATTATTAACTTAGTGATGCATTTGAGGTGTATGACCAATAAAATGCGACTATTGTAGTTGTAACATTCTTTATGACCGGCCATAGTTTTAATTTTGTTGTTTATAATGTTGTTTTCCTGCATTGGACATGTTAGATAATCAACTTTAATATGTTTTAATTAAAGAGATAATATTTTGATGTGGGCTGTTGGAATGATCAAATGATTAGTATTTAGTAGGTTAAGTGTTTTTAATGGTAAATAAAATATTATTTACTATAAAATAGCCAACAAAACCATAAAAGTAATATTTTGCTAAACATGAAATTATATTTCACTAATTCAACCATTTAAACCCTCGGTCCAAGAAAACCAATGGGACCATTATGGACTATGAAAAAGAGAATACAGAAAGGATAGATGTTTAACTAATAAAAGAAGTATCTTACTTAAATTTGTATCACTCTTTATTGTCTATTCATTTCCTATTTTCCTATTTGTTTTTTCATTTTTCATTAGGCTTTATGATTTTTGCAGATGGTGGTTTCTGATAGTGAGGCCATAGATTAAATTTATGTAAATTTGTGCGTTCAAATGTTAAAAGTCATTCGAACGTATTTGTTATTGATATTTGATTATTTTTGTTATCATTAATTTGGCTCAAACGGAAAAGGACAACTCTTTGCAGTTAGATAAAAAAAATTGTGATCGAATTTACTTTGACTGCATTGGTGAAATATGAAACAACTAAAGAAGTTTGCAATCACTTGGATATATTGTATACTCAGTCTAATTTTGATAAGTGGTACCGGTTCAATCATATATTCAAGCACTTCAATGTAATATTATGAGAATATGAGTGTCCAAGATTTTTTGTTAGGATGTTCATTTTGTCTGAACTATTTTTTTTTCATTATTTTAAACCATTTAATTTAATATGATATGGTTTTTTTAAAACACATGATTTAGTTGTTAAATTAAATTATTACATAAGCTTTTTCAAATATTAGACCAAGTAATAATCATCCCAATAAATACAATTATTTTGAAATTTTTTACTAATTCTCTTTTTCTTTTTTGCGAAGGGATGCCCAAAATTAGGGTGATATATATGTGATGTAAATGAAATATCACATATTAGGGTGGGGTAGGGATCCGACATTGTATCGTGCTTCAATAGAAACCGGTGGGACCTTGACTGTTAGTGTATTACTTGTGCTATACTCTGTAGTACGTTAGGCAATGCTCTTAGTACCTAGATTATGACTGTTGACTGCATTACTTCCATTCATCCAAATCCATGGTATTTGCAGGTCAACAGCAATAATTGAGGCTTGCTCATACTTCAATATATTGGCCTTCTTCTTCACAATTCCAACCAGTTGTACACATACGCACTTTACAAAGCAGCAAAAACAGCAAGCATTAGCACAGGCGCATATAGTAGAAGAGGTATGTTTTTGTTGAAAGTTTTTCTCTTTGTTTATGAATAATTTTTCTTAGTTGTTTTTAGTTTTCAATCTATCGATCCTTGACGAAATTATCTGAAAATAATGTTTTGCTTTGTTACTTGTTGTGGATTGTTCGTGTATGCTCCACATATAAAATCAAGTCAATGTTTAAATGAATGACAATGCTTCCTCATTTTCCCTCTTTTGATTATTGAACAATGTTTTGGAGGAATGGTTTTCTTAGGACAGATGCTTCCACGTAGAGATCAGTTCTAGCCCTAATAAACCCCCTAATTGTATCACTGTAGGACTCTGTTTACAACTAATAAACCCCTAATTAAAAGGCACGGTATTTTGTTCCTCATCTCTCACAATTTTACACGATGATGAAGATGTTGAAATTAACAATCTATTCCCACTTTCAATCATTTCAAAAAAAACCAAGGCTAAGTTGACAAGGGAAGACAAACAACAAATTAACTATGAATTTACATACACATGAATTTACCTACTACCAATTTTTTTCTAGCCAAACGTGTCAGGTGTCCTAAATCCTCAAGGAAACTTTTATAACACTAATTATCTATGGATTGTATATGATAACTGAAAAAAGATAGCTAAGCAAGTTAATAATTAATAACTTTTAACAGATGTATTGCCTTTTTTTTTTATCTGTTACAGGTCTCTGTAAAAGCCAGAATATTGAAAGATGGAGTTTGTATCTGCAATTATTAGTCCTATTGTTGAATCTTTAATTGCTCCTGTCAAGAAACAATTGGGATATCTCTTTTCATCCATGAAATATGTTAGGAACATGAATACTAAAATAAAGCTACTGGATGATATAAGCTGTGATGTCAAAAAGCACATGGAAACAAACAATAGAAGTAATCTGGAGATACCTACTCATGTACCAGGGTGGTTGGAAGAAGTCGAAAAGACTAAAGAAAAGGCTCAAAGCATTCTAAGTATTGGGAACGGATGTTGTAACTTGAAAATGAGGTATCGAGCCGGAAGGAAGGCATTCAAGACTACGGAGGAGATGGAAAGTCTTATTGATGAAAATAGTAAGATAACTTGGAGTGATGCTCAAAGACCTCTTGGGAAAGTAAACTCGAAAATCGCATCCAGTTCTGCACCATCAGATGGTGAATCCCAAAATCACTTCAAATCAAGAGAGAAGTCTTTTAAGGACGCCTTTAAGTCCCTTCAACAAGATCACAAGAGCAAAGTGATAGCCATATGTGGAATGGGTGGTGTGGGGAAAACCACTATGATGGAACAACTGAAGAAGACTGCAGAAGATAAGAAATTTTTTGATTGGATTGTGAAGGTGGTCATTGGGCAAAAGACTAACATGCTTTCTATTCAGCAAGATGTAGCAGAATACATGGGCACATCTCTAACTGAAACGAGTGTAGCAGCAAGGGCAGATCGTCTTCGTATCACATTTGGGAAGATGTCAGAAAAAAAAGAAAAGCTTTTAGTGATATTAGATGATGTATGGGAGACGATTGAACTCAAAGATATTGGACTGAGTCCTTTGCCCAACAGCTTCAAGTTGTTGTTGACATCACGGAATGAAAGTATTTGCAAACAAATTGCAGTAGAAGCTAATTCGGAGTCGACACTAGTTCGAGTGGATGTGATGGAGGAGCCCGAAGCACAAAATTTCTTTTGGCAAATCACAGGAGTTTCAAAACAACATGATATGGAGCTCAATCAAATAGGAAGTGAAATTGTGAGAAGATGTGGTTTTTTGCCCCTTGCCATTAAACTCATCGCCAAAACCCTTCAATTTCAAGAAGTTTTTGTATGGAGAGATACTTTTCAACGGTTGAAGAAGAAGAATCTTGATGAGAATGTGCAAGAAGTTATTAAGATAAGCTATAATTATATAAAAACAGAGGAGGAAAAGGTGATTTTTCTTCTGTGTGGCTTGTTTCCTGATGACTTTAATATCCCAATTGAGGAACTCACAAGATATGCATGGGGCCTACAGTTATTAAGTGAAGTATCCACTTTGGGAGAGGCTAGAGACAGGACAAAAATGTGTGTGCAGAATCTTAGAAATGCAAATTTGTTGATGGATAGCGATTGCATTGGGTGTGTCAAAATGCATGATCTTGTGCTTGCTTTTGTCATAAGTAGAGTTTCTAAAGGTCATCATCCATGGATAATCAACCATGGTGATATTTCAAAGTGGAGTAGAGCTGAAGTGAAAGAGTCTTGCAACAGAATCTCTATTACTTGCACAGGTATGTATGAGTTTCCTGGTGACTCTAAGTACCCAAACCTATCACTTTTGAGACTTATGGATGGAGATAAGTCACTTAAGTTTCCTGAAGGTTTTTATGAAAGAATGGAAAATCTTGAAGTTATAGCGTATGAAAAAATGCAGTATCCGTTGCTTCCCAGATCACTTGAATGCTCCACCAAACTACGAACACTCATTCTCCATAAATGCTTATTGATGTTTGATTTCTCTGTTATTGGAGAACTCTTGAATCTGGAAGTGCTCAGTTTCGCTCATTGTGGCATCAGAAAGTTACCATCCACAATCGGAAAGTTGAAGAAGCTAAAGCTACTGGATTTGACGGGCTGTGTCAATCTTCGTATTGATGATGGTGTTTTGAAAGATTTGGTCAATCTTGAAGAGCTTTATATGAGAGTTGCTGATGAAAAGGCAATTAGGTTCACAGACAGTAATTATGCTGAATTAGCAGAACTTTCAAAGCACCTTTCTGCACTAGAAATCGAGTTCTTTGGGAACAGTGGTAAGCCCGAGAATGTGTTGTTTACGAAACTTGAAAGGTTCAGGATCTCTATGGGATGTGGTTTAGTAGCCAATACTAACAAAAATATGCACTCATTTGATAACACATTGAGGTTGGTCACTAACAAGAATGAGCTATTGGAATCTGGAATGAAAGAGTTATTTGAGAAAACTGAGGTGCTTTATTTGAAGGTGGATGGTATGAACAATCTTGAAGAAGTTTTAATGGAATCAGTTCGTCTTCCTCAGCAGGCGTTTAATAATCTAAGAGTCCTTGATGTTTTCAACTGTGCAAACTTAAGATACCTCTTTACAGTCCCTATTGCAAATGGTTTGATGAACCTTGAACGCCTCACAGTTTCACAGTGCCCTGTTCTGGAAGTACTTGCACATAGTGAGAATAGTGGAGATGGGGTAATCAAGTTTCAGGGGCTAAAGTTTCTAAGATTGGATAGGCTACCAAAGTTGATAGGTCTTTGCAACACTGCTAATGTAATTGAGCTACCACAGCTGGTGGAGTTGGAACTTGATGGCCTTCCTAATTTCAGTAGCATTTATCCAGAGAAAACATCTGCAACATCTTCTATGTCCAGTAATGCCTCTGCAATTCAACCATTCTTTAACAAACAGGTACCTCTATATTAGGATTTATGTTGACAGTTTCATAGATTTTCTTTGTAATGAAAATCTGTATTGATTAGATTGTGAATTTGTGATCCCCCAAACAAACTATTTTAAGTTTGATTTCACTACAATTATCAACATGTCTTAATTATTGTGCAGATGCTGATTCCTAAGTTGGAGAAATTGGGGATTTGGAGTATGGATAAGCTGAAAGAGATATGGCCTTATCAATTTAGTAGTAGTGACGAAGTTAATGCCTGCATGTTGAGAGAGATTCACGTGAGGAATTGTGATAATATTGTGAATCTGTTTCCAACCAATCCCATGTTCTTGCTGGGTCGTCTGGAAGAGCTGGATGTTTCTAATTGTGGAAGCATTGAAGTGTTGTTTAACATCGACATGAGTTGTGTTGGCGAAACTGAAGAATACAGTAGCAGCTTGAGAAAAATTAAAGTGTATAATTTGGGTAAGCTAAGAGAGTTGTGGAGGATGAAAGGTGAAAGTAGCTCTGATATCCTCATCCGTACCTTTCAAGCTGTTGAAAGGATAGAAATAGAAGAGTGTGAGAGGTTTGTAAACGTATTCACACCGACCATGACCAATTCTGATGTGAAAACAGTTATGAAAGTGAGTATAGATGGTAGGAGAACGTGGGAAGAAACCAGGGGAAACATTGAATTGGTTCAGAACAACCAAGAGGTATGTGATGTCATTGAGCTTTCAATTTCTATTTTGATGTTTATAACTTATTTATATGTGTCTCTATACATACATACACATATATAATATATCACACTATAACAAATCAATCAATTCTACACAATTCTTTCGATGTGTTCTGCTAGATTCTCACTCTTGAATTTCGATCACACAAGGATGGAAAAGAGAAATACAAGAAATGATAGATCTCACACTGGAAATTGATGATCTAATGATCAATTTTACATACATGTGATAGAAATCTGGCGGTTTGAGTAGCCAGGATCTCCCAAAGAGACTAATCTCTAAAATAATTGATAAGATGTCTCTCCTAACTGATCTCTTACAATATAAAGGCATAACTGAAATAGTTAATTTACTTATTTACCCGTGCTGCCCACAATTGCTTACTCATGGTTTAAATCCTTTCTTGCCTCTTTGTGAATAAGTAAGAATTGGTTTATTTCCCTTCTTGCCCCTCCTTGAATATGTGAACATGAGTGGTGGTCTAGCATGTTCACACTTTAAAGTGCAATAAGATTATCAACCTGCGTGAAGATATGTATCCTATCAAATTATTTATAAATCTTTACACTTCAACTTGTGATAAAAACAAAGTTAAAACTCGGAATTTAAAAACATGGACAAATTATCTATATCACTACTACGCTTTTAAGAATAGAAAAGTAGGCTATATTTCTGCGTTGCTAAGTGTGGATCTGTTTCAACCTTCATATTATTATTAACATATTTATAATCAAGTTAATGGGGACCAAAATTTGTAAACACTTTAATGGACCTAAACCATAAAAAAAACAGATAAACACAGGGACCAATTTTGTAATTTAGTGTGAAAAATATCATTGTGTAAGTGCATGTATTTTACATATTTATTTCTAATTATATTTGTTGTTGAGATATGTGCAGATTAATGTTATATCCAAGGCAGAGATCATTTCAGAGGTGGATGGTAATATTCCTGACGTTGAATCCTCAATTCATCCCAAACCTTTTCACGTTAATCACCTTCAAAGACTTGATGTAAGGGACTGTAAGGATGTTGAAGTGGTGTTTGAGATAGAGAGTTCCAGTAGCAACAGCAGCAGCAGCACAGATTTCACAACAACTCTGCATAAATATAATCATCAACCACCACCACTACTACTTCCCCACCTCACGTATTTATATTTAATAAATATGGAGAGGATGAGTGATGTGTGGAAGTGCAATTGGAAGAAACTTGTAATTCCTCAAAACCAATCACAATCCTACTCATTCCACAACCTCACAACCATATACATGAATAATTGCAAAAGCATAAAGCACTTATTTTCACCTGTCATGGGCAAACTTCTTCCCAACTTAAAGGGGGTCTGGATAGATGAGTGTGATGGTATTGACGAAGTTGTTTCAAATAAAGATATTAATGATGAAAATGAAGAAATAATATCTTCTACTCACACAAACACCATCTCCTCCTTCCCTCTTATTGAATTTCTCTTCCTCCGGTCTTTGCCACGCCTAAAGAGTATCGATGGCGGTACTACAATCACAACTACTTCCATCCATGATCAGTTCAAGGTATATTTGATTTCTTTTAAGCGAATCCTTTACATATTCAGTTATTTGTTTTATTTCTTTTTTTAATATTCTATTATTTGTTTTATTTATTTATTTATTTATTATTTTTAATGCTTTCTTCTCCATTAGCTGCTTTATATAACTCAATAAGCTAATTCTTCTGAATCTGGAAAGACAAAATAACTAACTGAATACCTAATTTTTTTACAGTTTATTCGTTTGCATAGGTCATTAAAGTTATTTCTCTTAAGCATGGTTATAAATCATATGAAATGCATTTTTTTATCCAGTTTTAGTTAAGTTAACTAAAACAGATGGTGGATTTAGATCGGATTGTGAGGGAGAGAAAAAAATTGATTGATAAATATATATAAGTCATATCAACATTACTCTTGATTGTTAAGTAATATGAAAACTGGAACAAAAATGATTTTATTCATGTTTTTTTTTTTTTTTTTTTTTTTTTTTTTTTTGTTTCCTAGCTTGCAATTTTAGCTTAATAAAGTTCAGTTTGTTGTTTAAAAGAAATATCTTTTTTTTTTTTTTTTTTTTTTAATTTTTCAAAAAAAAGATCTTTTTTTTTTCTGACATGGAACTGAAAAATATCAAACTTTACCTAAGTATATCTAGTGTTCCGACTGAAAATATATAAATACAATATATGGCAAAAGACTCCTGTTCACAACTTTTTTTTAAAAGTATTAAATTTAAGATATTGATCGATCATCGAGCCAAACGACAAGATTGTCAGTTATGGGAAGTCTCAAGATCTTCATTTATCTAGTATAATTTCCCAAGTCTATATTGAAAATGACTCCCTTGAAAAGAAAAATTGTTTTAAAAATGCTTTCTATTCTGAATATTAGAATCAAGATAGATTTTGCAATATACAATCTAATGAACAATCATAGATGTATAATAAACGCACCTTTATTTTCACTATAGACACTGATATTGATAAGAGTCATTATCTGTTTCTTGGATTTGGCCTTGTCAATAATTCTATATTCACAAATGCAAAAATATAAACTTTTTTGAGAATTCTATATTCATAAATGCTAAAATATAAACTTTCTTTTCTAAAGATCAGATTATCTAGACCAAAATATGTGGGTTTAGATGTAGCACACACACATGATGGAAGACTTGGAATAAATTAATTATTGATAACGGCTGATCAGATGCTAACATTCTCCATATTAAATTTTTCTTCCTTTTGTCACTGTGTCCTAAATTAACCCTTCATGTTAGTAAAATTATTTAAAACATGAAGAAGATGATGCATGTAATCAATGCAGGTACGGAAATATAAGCATATTGATTTCAAACTCATTTCCTAATAATAAATAAATTTAGGAGTAAAGTTATGTTTTCATTTTCCCACATTGAGGAGGTAATGGGTTATAGAGTCCAATGCCTTTTATTTTCTCTTCATAAACCATATACAGAAAAACCACTATATTTTTAGTCATTTTCTCTGTTCAACATACTTTTCTTTATTTTATTATTATATCATCCTACTTTCATTTATTCCAGTTATAGCATCATACTTTGAAAAAATATACCCAATTATATGTGGCTACAACGGCCTGATAAGAAAAGTCGAAAGTACAATGCTATAGTTGGGTGGATTTTTAAAGTACCTATATGGTAGTCTTGGGTCATTTATTAAAGTCTAAAATTATAGAAATAGCATTTTACTTTCACTGATTTGATTATAAGAGCATCTTACTTTCATTTTTTCCTATTAAAGCATTGTAATTTAAGTAACTCACCCATTTATTGCAATTTCATTCAAATACAAAGGATTTCCGTGACTGCAATATAAAGAAATGAAAGTAGGATGCTATAATAAATGAATAAATGGAAATGCGTTGTTATATCTTTCATTTAGACCTTCTTCAGTTCAGATAAGTAAATTTCATAGCTATAAATCCAGGTGAAATATTTGTTTATTTTATGCTTTATATCATCCTTTCATGTGTTTATATCTCATATTTATTGTCTTTTTTTTAGTTTCAAAGATGAGACTAACCATTATCATGACCACCATGTCCACTTCCAGTGTCATACACTTTGCTTCTGCACGAGAAATAATTGTTGATTAATTGCTAATCAAAGTACTTCAAAGTCTCTTCATTTTCAAGTTTTAATTTGAATAAATGCTAATTAGTTGTGTTAATTAGCACGTAGCAGTTTTATTTTTCTTGTGTTAGTTTCCTATTTGTAGGTTGTCATAATATCTTCTAAGCCTATATAATTAAGGCCACTTTTATGATTGATTTAGTGTGCCTTTTCTTTCATCCACCATCTACTTGTTCTCTCCTGCCAACAATATAAGCATAGCATACAACTGATTAGTTTCTTGTTTTTACTTATTTTGTCATATATGTATAACGAGGGTATTTTGGTCATTTGACAAACCTTCTTCCTCAAGGAGTCCAAACACCACGATTTGGTTTCTCTTTATTCTAAGACCTTTTATCCATTTTTTCTGTATATTGCCCTTTTGGATTTCAACTTACATTGTCCACATTGGTACTTAATTACCTTAGTTGTGGGAAGCACTCGTGTTTGTTACCACACTTTTAGAAACAAATGATATATTAAATTGTAGTGTGTATGTGTGTAGCAAACATCTAAGCTTTGTTAATTAAAATAGATCCATTGATTTTTCATGTGTTGTTGTAGTGTTCTCAAGTCGGTGTTGCTTCTTGGTTCTTATGCCAATACTCCAAAAAGATTTATATAGAGAACTGTCCTGCCCTATCAAGAGTGTTTCCATCCAATGTAGTGGGACGACTGCTTAAGCTTGAAGAGTTGAGAATATGGTATTGTAAGTCAATAGTAGAGATATTTGAAAGTAAAGAAATAAAAAAAGATGGTGTTGATAGTACTACGAATGTTGGTGATGGAAGTGATGATACTTGTACTGCAATCACCATCCCAAGGTCGGCAAATATGACTCTGCTTCAATTGCCCAACCTAACGATATTGAAAATAGAAAGATGTGAAGTTTTGGAATATATATTCACAAGTTCCACACTTGAAAGCCTCAAGCAACTCAAAGAACTGACTGTAGCAGAATGCAAGGCAATGCAAGTGATTGTGAAGGAAGACGCAGAGCACACAGAAACATCTAAATCTATAATAGTCTTCCCACGTCTCAAGTCCCTTACACTTGTAGATTTACCAGATCTGAAGGGTTTCTTCTTGGGGAAGAATGAGTTCAGGTGGAAAGTATTGGAAATGGTTGAGATGTATGGCTGCCCACAAATGATGAATTTCACATCTGGTCACTCCATGACTCCGAAGCTCAAATATATACATACAGCCTACGGCAAGCATAGTCTTGAATGTGGCCTCAACTTCCATTTGACCAATGCTACACATGAGGATGAGGTATGTTATCACTTTATTTCATCATTTAACCAGGTGATCAGCATGTCGTTTTATGATGTTCAACATATTATTTGCTTACAAAAATTAGGTGGCAGGTTCATATTTGTATTCCAGAAGGAAACATAAAACAAAACCAAATGAAGATACATATATAACCACTTCACTTTTTTATATCCATAAAAAGTTATGAAAATATGCAATCTTGTTTTTTATTATAAATTAATATTTCATTCCTAAGATATTAAGTTGTCTCTTATGTTACGAAAGATGTTATATTCACTCATTCATAAGTTAGCAGTTTAATATTTAAATCAAGTTAGATGAACTAAAGACAAAGGCTGAATTGACGCATTCACTGTGGGTGGTTTTTTCCATGTCCAACATTTCTGAACATAAACAATACTAGGTTTCGTTTGATCATATTCAAATCAACAACCCCTTCTTCTTTACATTGTCCCTATTTTCACCGGCTTGCAACCCCAAGAGCATCACAGAGAAAGAAGGTAAAGAAAGGAGGAGTTGGGTGGGGGTTAGGGGTTTATTTTCTTTTTTGCATTTTTTAATGTTTAATTAATATTAAAGAAAACTTAAAAAAAGAAATTAAAACAGTAAATAAGTCTTTTCAATTTTGATACAAACCTGGTGAGAAGGACCAACTTTGTAATTTTGGAACCACAGGGACCGTAACCGCAAAAATCGACAAACGCATGGACCAAATTTGCAGTTTTTGCTAAAAAAAAACAACAAATCTAACTAGTGGCTTGGAGGCTTGGAGTCTGGGCAAGTATTCGACTAAAGGCATAACAAAATAAGCACCTAAGAAAAAGGGCTTCTAAAATTCACATAATAGTTTCTTTCCTTGAAAACAGAAGATTTAAGAATTTATATCAAATATATGAATATAAAAAATTATTTTCTTGTGTATTACAAATGATACTTGGCAAGTTCATTCTTATTCAAATCATTTGAAAGTTTATAAATCATTAATTAGGAACTTAGAACCAACAACTTCATTCGGTTAAGAAAAAAACACAAAATAGATGGAAATAAAAGCATTAGCTTATTTTACATATTTTCACTCATATCCATTAACAAATAGATTTTTGTATGGAGCTATATTTTGTAATTGAATCATTTATATCGTTTTCATCCAGTTTAATCCAATTATCTAACATATTTTATAATAATGTGATGTTATTAGTTAATCAAGTTGTTCTTTTCTCTCTCATCTTCTACAAGCTTGATATTTATGTAGCGTTTATTACCTAAATTTGACAAAAATAGTATTGCTGAGATGATTGTAAAAGTATAAGTATATCATCCATATATCATTTGTTGTATTTGACAATGCAATAAAAATACAATAACATAGTTATCTTTTTTCCTAAAAAAGTTGGATGTAAACATTCAGTACATGAAAAACTACCTATTTGAAGTAGCCAAAACACTTAACTTTTACAGTTTTACTTTTTATTTTATCTGCCCACCCCACACACACACAAACACAAATATTTAATTTTTTTACTTTTATTTAAAAAGACTCAATCATTGATAAAATCTAAATTGTTTAAACAAATCGACAATCATCGATAAAATCTAAATTGTTTAAACAAATGCAATGTATAAATCAGAATTTTTCTTCATAGTGCTCATCTTCACAGAAAATAATGTAAGCAGTGCCATAAACTAGGTTGTTGATTGATAATACATGTTGGCTCATTTAAAAAGAATAGAACTTGCACTCCTTTACTATGTTTATATGCTAAATGTGTTTGTCCTTTATATGCTAAGTAGTGTTTGAGATGATCTATGTTTGATTTTTCTTTGCAGACTCAACTCCCTATGTGCTCTACTCCAGATATGATAAAACTACTTCAGTTCCCTTGGTCTTTTTCAAATTTAGTTGAAGTAGATGCACATAAGTATGATGACAAATTGTTTGAAAGCCGCATAATTTTTCCATGCAAGGAGTTGCTTAATTTGAAGAATCTTGAAAAGCTCTCTATTACCAGGAAGCTAAAAGATTTTATATTACTCTTGCGGAAAATTAATGGTGAATCTAAAATAGAGGAGGTATTTGAAGTAGCAGAAGGGACAAATGAAGATGTGGATATTGAAACACAATCTGTTGTGGTATTTGAGAAGCTGAAAGAGGTGACTTTGGGTGGAATATATAATCTGAAGCATGTGTGGAAGAGCAATCGGTGGATAGTGTTGAACTTTCCAAACCTCACAAAGGTCTCAATTGAAAGTTGTAAGCTTCTTGGACACGTTTTCAGTAGTTGCATGGTTGGTAGTCTATTGCAGCTCCAAGAGCTACAAATAAGTAAGTGCGAGAGTATGGATGTGATTGTGAAGCAAGTTGAAGATTCCGAAACCAGACCGACTACTGAGGTTGTGTTCCCTTGTCTAAAATCCATAACACTTCACAACCTTCCAAATCTCATGGGATTTTGCCTGGGGAAGGAGGCTTTTGAATGGCCATCATTAGATACTTTGAAAATCAAATATTGTCCAAAAATAACAGTTTTCACAAATGGGCAATCAACTACTCCAGAGCTAAAGTTAATAGATACAACTTTTGGATTGTGTCATGTAACAGAAGACCCCAACTCTTTTATAAATACCTATCAACAAGAGGTATGTGGTGTCTCCTTTGGTTATTATTAACAGATTAATGTTTTCTCCAACAAAAAGTTTACTTTACTCTCCAATTTACAACTTTGTTGTAATCTCCTACAGGGATGGGAGTTCTAGAGGAACATTTGAATTCACATGTGCAGTTTGGCTCATTTTGAAGTCAGCTATATATATATATATATATATATATATATATATATATATATATATATATATATATATATATATATATATATATATATATATATATATATATATATATATATATATATAGCATAATAGGTAAGATTACAACATTGTACCATGGTTTATGCCTTAGGATTTCTTCTAGCACTCATTTGTTTCCAGTGTCCATCATCATTTACGTGTTTCTCTACTTTATTTGATTGAACTGACTTGATGACCAACTCTTCTGCTTCAAGGTTATTGAAACCCTGTTCCTAAGTAATCTCATAAATCCCTTTTGTTAAAAGATTTAATTCACAAGAAATTGATACTTTAGACTAAAGTCTTTAGTTAATCTTATATTAAATCTATTCTTTGGATTGATCGGCGAGTGCAAATCAAGAATTCTGGACGAAAGACATATTCTTTTGTTCAAAGTTCGGCCTCTTTCATGAGGGCATTCTATTTTGACTTTTTCACAGTAGTCAAACTTAATGCTTTTAAAATTCAAATTATAGGCATTTTTCTGTTTGATTATTGGTCATGTGAAACCTTTTTTTTTTTTTTTTTTTTTCATATTTTTATGTGTAACCTTTTATTTTTTTCATGATTTTGTTTTTCAGGCATCTTCTGATTTCAAACAGCCCCGCAGCCACCACATGTCCCTGAGTACTCCCTGGAACTTGTGTCTTGTGGTGGCTGGCGGTTGTTTCTGGTGGTGGATTTGGCCAGAGAAATTTCCATGTGTAACCTTTTTTTCCTTGTGTACATACTTAAAGAAAAATTACCTGTTTTCAAAAGAAAAACACAAACTCGGTTGCCTTCATGATGAATTATATTTCGTCCTTCACTCACAACTTTACCCTGTAAATAACATAAACATACTTTTCTTTACTATATTTTAATCCCCTGTTTTAGGATAAACTTAGCTTCAATATTCTCTGTTTTATACTTAATGCTACGTTACCCGTTAGTTTAAAATAACATTACATTGTAGGCATCACGATGTGAAGTAAAACAAAAAGATGAAAAGTTAGGATGAAGTGATATTACTTGAGATCATCCTCTGGTAACATCTGACTTTGTTTATGTTTCAAAGAATTAGTTTATTGTAAATTTTCATCTTTTTACAAAACTTAACTTTACCCCAATTATATACTTTAATCCGTTGGATTTCAAGGTTCTATATTTCAAGTTTAAGACAGGTTTACAAAATCTTCTTTAAAGGCAGTGAAAATCATCAATTTTCGTAACTTTCATTTTTTTTTTAATTACAAAACAAAACACATTGTTACAAAATTCACTAATAATATTAAAAAAACACAAATATGGCTACAATATTACAAAACAACTAATTTTTTTTAAAAAAAAAAATACTTCTCTTGCTTTTTTAGATACAAAATCATTAAAAATACTATCAAGATCGATTTAATGTAATATATTTTTCTCTCTACATAATATTGTCAAACCATTCAACATTTTTTGCGACATCGATGACTTTAGATAACTCTTCAATAACTTTGGTTTTGAAAAAAATTCATTTTGCAATGTAACAATGACATGAATGGTTTAATAAGATGCTATATGCAATAAAAATATTTCGATAACAGTCAACAACTTTAACAAAGTCCAAAATTTCAATAGTGTACATTATATTATTTGGCAAAGTCATTTGCAACACCTTTAATTTTGAAAGTACATAGCAAATCCTAATTTCTAGGTTTAAAAATATCTACAAATGATTCTTTGATTTCTTCTGAAAAGTGTTCCTCAAGAAAATCCAATATTTTCTTATGAAAGTAGAGTATTTACTGGTAGAGAATATGCCGTCGGTTTTAGAGATACTAGTGTTATCTTTAGAAAATCCCAAGTTTTCCTGAAATAGGTTATCCATTCTAGAGGTAGAGATGTAAGACTAGAGATTCTTGATTTCTGATCAGTATAAATATGAAAATAGTTTTATTATTCAAAATGAAACATTTTCAAAGTAGAGTCTGTAAACTAAGTTAGCTTATACTTATTTGTGAGTCGTATAACCATACTTGATACGACCTAGAGACCTTTATAACGTTCTTAAGGCGTTAAAGTTAAATGACATTTGTACACCCCAGACATGCCTACCTAACTGTAGCTAGCAGTTCAGGTGCCGGATTGTCAGTCCCGAATAGATCTATCCACAAATCTCACGCTCTCCCTCCAGGAGACTCTGGTTATACTAGAAGGATTTATCCATGTACACCTAAGGGTACAGTAATGAAATAGCGCCTCACAATTCTATATAATCCAATTTACAAGCTAGAGAACATAGAGAACAAGCTAGTGACCATAGAGAACAAGCTAGTGACCATAGAGAACAAGCTAGTGACCATAGAAAATAGTAATTATCCTTAGATAATATACTTTATGCTTCTGAGAAAATATATTACATAACTATAGTTGTCATAGTTATAATATATTTATCCCTGAAATCTGATTCAGTAGAGACTGTCTAGAGATTATCCCAAACTATACCCATTATAGTTTGTTAGAGTTGATATAGAAAACACTTGTTAAACCTTTCTGTGATTAGTTAGATTTCCAAAATAATAGTTTTCCCTTATGCTCAACATAGTACAAAAAGGGATAAAATCCGAGTATGTTATAAAAAACTGGAAATAATTGGACTGGATTAACAAGTTTAAAACTTGATAAAAATACTTTAGAGTTATGGCTTGTATTCCCCCCTTGAAAACATTAAAACACGGAAAATATAGGGGTATAAACTCACCTGTAGTGAGTGACTTGAATGAAAGATCGATATAGGATTGCAGAGTGTTAAGTGAAGTCTTTGGCACAAACGAATCCTATTAACCATATAATGACACATATATGTATATAATTAGTGTATAAACAACTAATCATGAAAGGTAACACCCCTTGGGACTAGGAACACTTATACTGAAGTGCTACAATCACATATGATTGCATAAAAGGGGGTGTATGACCACTAAATGGGGTTTTCGGTCCAAGTGGTGTGATTCTAATAGTTTTCGGTCCATATGGTTTTCGGTTCATATGGATTTCGATCCATATGGTTCTCGGCTTCATATGATTTTCGGTCCATATGGTTCTTGGTTTCATATGATTTTCGGTCCATATGGTTCTCGGTCACGGGAGATGCACTTGACCGAAAACACCAATTGTTCCACAAAAAACGAATATTTTCAAGCCCCTAATTCGATATCCAAACTAATAACATGTAAAGGATGCAAGGACTTACAAATTTGAAGGCTAAGAATAGAGGTTTTTGGCCCAAAACACTTTCGTGTTCTTGAAGATCTAGTACAAAAGATGGAAATTTGTGGATGGATTCAAAGATGATTCAAGAAGAAGAAGTGATGTAGCAACATATATATGGAAGGATCTACTTACATTTATGAAGATTGGAAGAAAACTTGAAGATCCTTAGGAGAGATGTAACGATCGTCTTTCGAGGTATAAATTTATTTAGATTCTCAAGTTTTATTTTGGGCTATAATAGAATTGTATATGGGATTGGGCCTCTTTGTTTTGGGTCAAGACATAGTCTGCCCATAAGCCGTACGCGGGGCGTAAACCCGTTGTATGCTGGGTGTAATGATTAAATGAAACGCGAGGAGGAGAAGCGTACGCGCAGCGTACCATATGGTACGCCCGACGTACGCGGTCAGAGGAAAAACCCTAATTTTAGGGGTTTAAGGCTATATAAACCCCATTATAGCCTCCTTCCCTGTTTTCCCATCAGCCTCCTCACTCTCAAGAAAACCCTAAGTCGTTCTTATCCTCTCTTTGTGTGTGAAGAAGCTTTTGTGAGTGATTCAAGGAAAGGAAGTGGTGAAGAAGGAAGGGAAGAAGTTGGAGAAGAAGCTTGAGTTCAGGGATCTGGATTTAGCACCCTCTTGGTCAGCAAAGGAAGGTATAAAGTTTTGAACTTTCTTCCTCTTTCCTTCTAGATCTAGGTTATGAAAGTTTGGACATTTTTAAGTCCAAAGGTTGAGTCTTGATCTTGAAAGTCGGTTTTGGAGCTTGGATTGCCATCCTTAAGGCTCAGAAACATCTTCCTAGCAATAAAGTTACAATCTTTGTGGCTTATATGGAACCATGCATGAGATCTAGTTAGCTTTGTGGAAGTAGAATGTTATTTATGGAAGTTTGAGCCTTTATGAGACTTGTAAGCCATCAAGTAAGCAACTTTATGGCTTAAGACGTGGAACAAGCTTAGGATCTGGATTTGTAGCTTCTGGATCAGATTATTAAGCATTTAATGAGATTTTGGCTTAACAGGGATGTACGGTGGGCGTACAAGCGAGCAGCCAGTACCCTCAGCGTACCTTGGTGTACGCCCCGCGTACGCTGCCAGTTTGGGCTTCGAGTGTTTTGGGCCTCAGTGTGGGATGAGTTTTAGACTTAGGGTCTTTGGGCCTTAGTGGCCATCAGAATTCAGTTGCTTTGGGACCAAGGACTAGTATTGGGCTTGAGTAAGGCCCAATAAAAGGTTTTGGGCCCAATATAGAAAATTGGGCCATTAGTGGGCCTATTAGTGGGGCCATTGATGGACTTAGAAGGAATGAGGGTTTGGGCCATATTGTGACCCAT